GGCTCTCACGCCGGCGCCCTCAAAGCCAAACGCGCGCGGCTTCTCAGAGCAAAAGCCCCTCCCAAATTTTACTTGCATTCCTGTTCTCTAAAGGGGCGGTCCTAGGGTTTGATGAGGGCGTGGCCAGGTTTGGGTGGGGGCGTGGCCAGGGGAGGGAGGTGAGTTCCACCACCTTTTCTCTGAGAAAAAAAGCCCTGGTGATCTCAGAACCACTAAACTATATTTTTCAAAGATCCTGGAGCACTGGGGAACTATCAGAAGACTGGAAAAGAGCTGATGTAGTTCCCATCTTCAAAGAAAGGAAAAAAATACCTATCAGCCTACCTCAATATCTGGAAAAGATGATCAAGCAACAAGTCAGTGAACACCTAGAGGCAAAAAAAGTCATAACCAAAAGCTAACATGGGTTTGTCAAAAACAGATCTTGCCAGACAAATCTTATTCCATTATTTGACAAGATGACAAAATTAATGGACCAGAGGAATGCTGTGGACATCAATTACTTGGACTTCAGTAACGCATTGGATAAAGTAGACTACAACCTACTATCAAATAAGATAGAAAAATATGGGTTAGACAACATCACCACCAAATGGATTCGTAGCTGGCTGACCAACCGCACTCAATGTGTAGTCCTCAATGGAACTGCATCTATATGGAACGAAGTATGCAGTGGGATACCCCAAGGTTCTGTTTTAGGTCCAGATGTCTTCAATATCTTCATCAATTATATGGATGAGGGGATAGGTGGGGAACTCATCAGATTTGGAGATTACACCAAGCTGGCAAGAATAGCCAACACTCCAGAAGACAGGCTTAAGATACAAAAAGATCTTGATAGATTTGAATATTGGGCACTATCTAACAAAATGAAATTCAATGGGGAAAAAGTAAGGCTCTACATTTAGACAAGAAAAACCAAATGCACAGGTACAGTACAGGTGGTACCTCACTCAATAGTAGTAATTTTGAGAGGGATCTCAGAGTCCTAGTGGACAATCACTTAAATATGAGCCAGCAATGTGCTGAAGCAGCCAAAAAAGCCAACCCAGTTCTAGGCTGCATTAACAGAGGGATAGAATCAAAATCACGTCGTGTTAATACCACTTTATAATACCTTGGTAAGGCCACACTTTGAATACTGCATCCAGTTTTGATCAGCACAGTGTAAAAAAGATGTTGCAAAGAATAGCAACAAAGATGATCATGGGACTGGAGGCTAAAACATATAAATAACGGTTGCTGAAATTGGGTATGTCTAGTTTAATGAAAAGAAGGACTAGGGGTAACATGATAGCAATGTTCTAATATCTCAGGGATTGCCCCAAAGAAGAGGGAGTTAAGCTATTCTCCAAAGTACCTGAGGGAAAGACAAGAAGCAATGGATGGAAACTAATCAAGGAAAGAAGCAACCTAGAACTAAGAAGAAATGTCCTGACAGTTAGAACAATTAACCAGTGGAACAACTTGCCTCCAGAAGTTGTGAATATTCCAACACTGGAAGTTTTTACAAAGAGATTGGACAACAATTTGTCTAAAATGGTATAGGGTTTCCTGCCTGAGCAGGGGGTTGGACTAGAAGATTTCTAAGGTCCCTTCCAACTTTGTTATTGTATTCTATTCTATGAACTGAGATAAAACTGAATTACAAAAATTCTGAAAAGATTACATTGAAAAAGCTATTCTCCCAATCGTTTCACTATATGCTGGTTCACGTACTAGATAAAACACTCAAGATGATGGAAATGATTTTGTGCAAATTAAGAATATTAACAATTATTTATGTGAATATATAGGATTTCCATTTCCTCGCATTTGTTTTTATTCCATGATTTGCATGTATTCTCTGTATGCATGTTCATTTATAAAAATGGTGGGGAAACAGATGTTATGAATTTAGTGCCCATCAGCTATATTGGGAGTATGCTTGTATTGGCTGCTAAAAGTTATTGGACGTTGACGTTTAAACTCCAAATTAACTTGTAATATTAATGTGATAGAAATAATTATTAATACATAACTAGAGATAATAATATTATTTCTTTTTAAGTGTAATGTAAATAAAACCAAAAGTTGTTATCACTCATTTATCAATCTTAAGAATACAACCACCAGCATATCAATAAAAAAAACAAGGCTAGCCTTTAGGGCTAAATGAATTTTGTACTCCTGCTCTGGTATGTAAGAACAAAAACCCAGAGAAGATAGACTCTGATTCCCAAATGTTTAAGCTAGATAATGAAGGCGAGATGGAGAACCTCTCAAAATATCATTCACTTACCAAATTGGTTACGCCTACAATGCCTCAATGATCGTACTGTGTCTGCAATCATGTGCTGGGAAGATAAAATACACAGATTAATGAGTCAGCAAACATTTAAACTGGGAATGACAGCATGTACAAGCTCCAAATTATTAGGGCAGGAAGTGTTTGCCATAGAATGGAAATCTGGATTGTATTTGTTCCAGTAGTCCCTATATAGATGATTTCAAACATTAATTCATGGTTGCATTCACAGATTTCATTATAGGATGCCATATGAATTCTATCTTATCATATTTGTGGGAAGAGGTAGCCAAGCAGGCATCCAAACTTTTTTTTTTTTAAAAAAAACCCTTCCAAATTCCATTCCTTCCAAAAACAGATTAGTAATTCATTGAACAGATTTTAGCCAGCAAAAAGTAGGCAATATGGCATCGGAAATTGAAGGTCATAAAATCATTCTACCCAATATATCTAGGAACTGCAGCTCCTGGAGTTAATAGTTTTGGTTTTTTTTTAAAAAAAGTATGAATTTTTAATTTAAAATTTAAGTTAATTTAAAAGAATGACTCCTATGCCATTTTTCTCTAGGTAGATCACAAAGATCTATATGTTACCAAAGAGAGAAAAACTATACATATATGATCAGATATCAGGCTGATTTGAACTGACATATCTTCTTTAATGTTCACTTATTTATTCCTGGAAGAAAAAATGTATTTTTCTACAATTATTATTAAATCACAGTTGCGATCCCTTAATCAATATAGGCCAAATAATTTAATTTGTAGAGCAATGAACTAATAGGCCTACAAATAAGGCATATGGAAGCATATAGAATAAAAAGCACAAAATGCCTAACTTCCTAAAATATAACAATATTTTCTTACAATAATGTAAACTAACCTAACCATAATTATTGGTCCTACGTAAATGTTAATTATGCAGATGTTTTTACCTCTTCAAGTGTCTGCCTTCTATTTATATATAATAATATAATAATCCTTATAAATATTTACCCCACCCAATAAAAATATGAATATTTCTACAAGAGAAGAACAAACCCATGCAAAACAGAGAACTAAAAATAATGGTGATGTCCAGGTATTTTGTTTTGCATAGTAAAGGAAGCAGATAATTAGGGATAATACATGGTGATCAATTAACAATGTGGGAAGAATTTAGAATATCAAATGTTAATTAAGCTTGAATATCGTTAGTTGCTTTATAGGGGGAATACTCAGTGGAAAGCTGAAGCAAAGAGAACTAAATTCAATTTTAATCTGAAGAAATATTATAAGAGTAAGAAGAAAGGAGGGTGAGTGATAATATAAAAATGGGAGTTTGTCTTTTTATTATGTTGAATTTAGTGAGGAATGATACATACCAGCTTTTCAAAGTTTACAAGGTTATCCAGAAATGTTTTGTTTCCTTCATGTATAAATGTTACATCTAAAAAAGGCAAATATATTTTTCAACTTAACTTTCCATGTTCACATTGCAATGGTAATAAAACACAATGGTAATTGATACATTTTCATGTATAAGTAAGCATTCTGAAATTTTAATTGTGATAAAAATGTAAAAATACACCCCCAAACTTCAATTTCTGGAGTTCTAAGTGAAATAGTATAGAACAGAACAGAACAGAATAGAATAGAAACCTTGGAGGTCTTCTAGTCCAGCCCACTCAAGTAGGAGAACCTATCCTATACCATCTCAGACAAGTATCTGTGCAGTCTCTTCTTAAAAACCTCCAGTGATGGAGCACCTCCGATCATATATGCATAAGGTAGTTTTCTGGAAACACATCTAATGTCAACAAGTTTCTGTTGGTTACTCTTCTCCTATAACCTTCTGATAGGACCAAATTTTGCATTCCCCTTTGTCAGTAGAATCACCACAACCACAACCATCAAATAAACATTGATACTCTTTCTTCTTTTATAAACAAATCCTTACTACCACCCTATCTTGCCAATTCAAACTGGTGGACTTTAGGCATAACTTTCATTCATATTTTATTCTCACACCAAAAGCTCAGCCCAATTAAGTTAGGGAGCTGACTGCTTGCTATCCCAAAGAAACACCTTCTTCTCTAATCCTTTAAGCAACACCCACCTCTCATATGGGCCCAATAATTGAGGAGGGAGAGTAATTGAGAGGAAAAGTGGGGGGAAGCAGAATGGCAGGAGGGAATTTACAGTGCATCTTGTTGGTTCTTTCAAGACCAAAGGGAAGAGGCAAAAAAAACCTCTTAAGTTGGGAAGATTAAAACATCAGCCCTCTGAAACACAAATTAGATTAATATAGCATGAAAATAAAATGCAATTGTATTTGGCAGAAAATACAATGCAATTGCACTTCATAGCTGTTCATTGTGATATTATTGAATGTAGATGTGCTGTTTGAATAGTGGTTACTACTTCAGAACCATCTGACGAAGGGGTAGAAACTTTTATTGATAGATTTCTATTCAATCTTTGTACTGACCAAAGGCAACCTAAGTAAGTTTCTTCTGGAAGTCTTAATTTGCCTGGTTGGGGAAAAAAAAAGACTTGCTTGGGATACATCTATCCATAAAAACAAGCCTAGTGAGTTGAGGATTATACTTGATCTTTAAATAGTAGTCTAAAGGCTATATCTCCAAAAATGATGGATATGGCTGGGACAAAAACATTTTTAAAAATGTTAATTTAATCACATTTAAATATAACCACCAATTTAATTATTTATTATAATGATTTCCCCTTAATAGCTTTCCTTTTCACAAATACTATTCATCTGTCCCCTTTTCCACAATGACTGGCATTTTTCTCTCTTGGAACTTATATTATATTGCATTATAACATCCTAATATAATACATATGATATATATCTTTTCCTCAGTGATTGTGTTACTGTCAGTATTAATGAAAGTTTTAACAGCTTTTTTTAAAAAATTGTTCAAATCAAGACAAAACTGAAAGTCTTGGAAAGACTGGGAGGTTGAAGTAAGGAATCTGCATTGCTGTCAACAATTACAAGCTGAAACAAATTCAGTGGAGCAGAAAACTGCCTCTGAGCTGCAGTGTAAGAGCAGGATAAACAAACTAGAGTTAAAAAGCAATTGATTGTGATTTTGTTATACAAATTCAATTAATTTAAATGATGTATTACAGAACTAATAATAGTAGTTCAATTTTCCTTTTAATATTATTAGTAAAAAATCAGACCTCTTTGGAAAACAAGAATACATTTTACCATTAATCAATAAAGCTGATTGAGCAGCTTTGTAGGATTTCTCCCCCAGTTAAGGAGATCAAATCTGAAATTGAATCTGATTCAA